GATAAAGGGCTAAAATATGAAGCAGTTCAGAACACCTAAGGATCTCCAAAACCAGCTCGGTGGTGTCGACCACTTCAAACTGGATATTCCACTGATAGCGAATGGTTAAGAGCTGCTACCACCAGTTTAACACATAGAGGCTTCAGCAAACACTCCCTCACTCCCACAATGGGGCAGTCACGTCCTTTCTAGACTCTTCCAAGGGCTGATTTAGGTGCTTCCATCTCTGGAGCTGCCGCATTACTGACAGTGAAAGCAGAGATGTTTGTGTTCATTATGGTTGGACATCTCCCCCTCTAACAAATGAAGGCAGTCTGTGCAAACATGGAGCTTATTCTGTCTCCAAACACTGGTGTGAAACTGGTCATGACTCAGGCTTTGGAGTGAAACATTAAGGTGTTTGTCCATCCTTGTCTGGATGTGAAAGTGCAGTGGCACTCTGGCCGACGTTACATACCAGCTTATTATTACAAGGCATCAAACTTACAGTCCATAATTTATTGTCAGATGTATTTGAACTTTTTCTTTAGTGAGTCTTCTGGAATAAAGAATCAGTCAAGATGTCTAAGAATTTTATTCTTTACAAAGTGTCAGACAAACATACAGAGGTGCAACCAGTAAAGTATTTCCTTTCCCTCAGTTCTGGTTTATATAGCATAGAGCATATCTGCCCTAAATGGTAGGTTTCGTCTCTTTTATTCGATTTAGCAGGAAACCTATTTCAACCCATTTATCAAATTGTCCCATAGATGTTTTATCTTTCTCAGTCGTAAATTTTATAACTGGCAGAAGGATTTTAAGAGCTGTTTCCCACTCAGTTCTCACTTTACTCCAACATATACCTTATTTGTTTCTCTACGTACCTGTACCTTCATCTCTGGAAATGACACTTATGCTGCCGTTCAGTGGTGGGCAGTAATTACGTACATTTACTCAAGTACTGTCCTTATGTACAAATGCGTATATTCTGTTCAGGCCACTTTTTGTGTCTCCACCAAACTCAGACAGAGAGATTGTTCTTTTTTCTTCACTACAACAGCTTTTGTTACTTTACAAAGTAAGCATTGTACTACATATGAAGAGTTTAAAATATAATATTTTGTAATTAATTTAATTACCCAACAGTTTATTCAAGCACAGCTGAAACAATTAGTTGGTTGAAAAAAATGTTTTTATTGGCAGCTGTTTTGATCATTTGTCATTTTTCATGTCAAAACATTTCATCGTTCCAGCTTCACAAATTAATTATTTTAAAAATTTTGATGTAGTGTTAATAATATTGATGTTTGGATTGACAATTTCAGGCCAATCTCTAATCTCCCTGTTCTTTTAAAAATCTTGAAATCATTAGTTGCTATACAATCATATTTGGACTCACAGAACATTTGAAATGAAATACAATCCGGTTTCAGGTCAGTGCATAGTACAGTAACCACCACTTTAAAAGCTATGGATGACTTCAACGAGGCTATAGATAACAAATTTAGCTGTGTATCATTGTTCAGAGAACTTACGGAGGCCTTCGGTACTGTGGACCATCCATCACTTGTAAATACCCTGCTGAGAGCAGGCATTGGATGCAAAGCGGCTAAATGGTTCCACAGTTACCTGACCAATCATTCACAAATGGATAAACATGGCAACACAACATGTCAGATCCAGTCCTTGTTAGGAAAAGTGTTCCACAAGGCTCAGTTTTGGGACCCTTGCTTTTCCTAGTTTACATTAATAATATTTGATGTTTAAATTCTGTAAGGATCATCTGTATGCAGATGACACAGTTCTGTACTCCTGTGCCCCCACAGCAGAGTTTGCCTTTTCAAATGTGCAGGCAGATTTTTATACCCTGCAATAAAGTCAGATTTGAAGTTGCTTTTAAATTCCCACAAAACTAAAGTTATGATTTTTGCCACTGGGCGAACAAAGGTACCACCCCTCTACATCACGACCCTGTATGGAGTCTGTATCCAGTCTGTTGATGATTACAAATATCTGGGAATCTGGTTTTACAAAAAACCTAAATTTTAAATACCATGTTGATTATCACGTTGACTTTTCTGTATAGGTGAAAGTCCTGCTTTTCCATGGCTTCAGAAAAACACACTGCTGGCCTTTTTCTGCCACAGATTGATTATAGGTACACTACCTACAGGTTTGCCTCTCTGTCCACCTTGTCCAAACTTGACCCCCTTTATCACTCAGCTCTCAGATATGTCACTAACTCTAGTTTCAGGATACATCATTCTATACTGTGCAGACTGGAAGGATGGTCATCCCTTCACTTGCAAAGATATGTTAGGTAGACTTCCAAATTATTTAAACAGGACATTTTTAACTTTACAAAGCAGTCATAATCTCAGGTCACATAATGGGCTACAGTTTAAAGTGCCTGCTATCAGAACCAGGGCAGGTACTCAAAGTATAAAAGGGCACATGGAACAAGGATTTAAATAGGGCTGTTCTCAAAATATTGATACAGAAATATATTGTTATGTATTCCTTGCTGATATGCGTATACTGATGCTTCTGTATTGATACATCAGCAATGGTATGACACAGTTTTGAAAAAGAAACACAGGGAATACCCAGCTCTTGCTTTAAACACTGTGGGCTGTTGATGGTGTTGCTGGGGATGTTGCTGCTGATACTACTGGTGGTGATCTGTGACTATCGATATTATAACAAACTTAGGAGATATTAGCTGATTAAACAAATATGTGACCATGACAAGATGTAAAGATTGCTGACAGTATTTGGAACTGGCTCACAGTGACTGAACGGCTGTAGTGCTGCAGCCGCTGCCAAGGCTGACTGCTACGATAAAATAAGAGGGAGATGGTCACAGAGACTGCTGCACACCAAAAGCTGCAGGTAGAGGAAATAAGATACCAGGTTCAAAACTGTGTGGGAAATAATCTGAGAAGGATACAGTACTGGGAGAAAGGACGAGGTCGGCCAAGGCAGGGTTAAGAGGGAGACAAATCTATAGACAGGTGTGTGCGTGTGTCTATAGGCAATATTTTGATAATGATATATTTCACTGTGACATTTGGAATTCTTTATTACATTTATTTAATCTTGCTTTAGCATATAAAAAGCATTCAAAATATATTTTCATGTCTGCCATCTCCTTTTACATGTTGCTACATCCCGAACCCCATTACCCATAAACGTGAAATAAAAACAAATAAAAAAACAAATAAAGGAACAATTACTAAAATAACTGACAATGAAAATAATAATAATTTGAAAACCTTTCAAAACAATTATTATATTTGATTCTATTCTGAGTTTCCACTGGTTGTCCTCTGTTCGTGGCATCCATCTATCTCTCTCTTTCACTATCTCTGTCTTTCACTATCTGTCTTTCACTGTCTATTTTGCTATCTCTCTCTTTTAGTATCTCTGTCTTTCACCGTCTATCTTTCACTCTCTTTCACGGTCTATTTTTCACTCTCTTTGTCTTTCACTATCTCTGTCTTTCACTATCTCTTTCACTATCTCTTTCACTGGCTCTGTCTTTCATTATGTATATCTTTCACTATCTCTGTCTTTCATTATCTCTTCAGTATCTCTTTCACTATCTCTTTCAATATGTATCTTTTCCATATCTCTTCACTATCTCTGACTTTCACCATCTCTTGAGTATCTCTTTCACTGTTTCTGTCTTTCACTATCTCTTTCACTATCTTGGTCTTTCACTATCTCTTCCGTATCTCTTCACTATCTCTTTCGTTACCTTTATCTTTAATTATGTCTTTCACTCTCTTTTTCACGGTTTCTGTCTTTCACCATGTCTATCTTTCACTATCTCTGTCTTTCATTATCTCTTTAGTATCTCTCTTTCACTTGCTCTATCTTTCACTATGTCTCTTTCTCTATCTCTTTCACTGGCTCTTTCTTTCACTATGTCTATCTTTAACTATATCTGTCTTTCACCATCTCTTCAGTATCTCTTTCACTGTTTCTGTCTTTCACTCTCTCTTTCACTATCTCTGTCTTTCACTGTCTTTTTCACTGGCTCTGTCTTTCACTATCTCTCTTTCACTCTTTCACTATTTCTTTCCCTGTCTGTGTCTTTCACTATCTCTTGTTCATTATCTTTCACTGGCTCTGTCTTTCACTAGGTCTATGTTTCACTATCTCTTTCACTATTTCTCTTTCACTGGCTCTATATTTCACTATCTCTCACCCAGAGCCTTAAAGCCAACCAACCCCGTGACATTGCAGGTTATCGTACTGCACAATGGTGGCACCCTTTCCGTTAAAGATATGACAATTCTTCTTTTCTTTTGTCTTTTATACGTTTACATTTGTCATGTTTCTTGTATAATTGTTGATCGTAGTGGAAATCCATTGTGTAAATGATGTAAACTTGATTGACTGCTTCATTTCCCTTTAAGGTCTCAATGCCATCATTGTTCCAAACAAGTACAGTTTTACTTGTGCTCTCCTGCTTTCGAGCAGGGACTTGTAGGTGGGAATTAAATGGACATTATGGTGAGAGGTGCAAATGGGGGTATTACAGTCTACATATTGCTTCAAACCAGGCAGCACAGCTTAAAGCTTGCAATGGTTACAGTCACCAAGCATTTCAATTGTCTGTGAAAACAATCTGCTGGAGTAGTATTGAAGATACTTTGAAAATACTATGAACATATTCAAGTTCTGTTATTTGTTTATTGTGTTTTATCTGTGGTGCTTCATTTAATGTTGCTTCTATCACCACTAAAACAAATCCTGACTATATCATAAACCACTGAAGTTTAACAGTGTGTGACTCCCTCTAGTGGACGTTGTGGAGTATTCTGTTGTCTTTGCTCCAAAGGTTTTTGTACAGAGTTTTGGTGTTTCCTGTCACTGTGGGCCGCAGAGCACAGTAGTACACAGCAGAGTCAGACAGCTGAAGCTTCTGGATCTTCAGAGGAACTGACTTATCCTTGATTGTAGCATTAAATCTGTCTTTTGTGAACTCTGCATCAAAATCTGTTGTTTTTGAGTAACTTTTCAGCATGTACTTAGGAGACTCATTTACTTCTTGTTTGTACCAGAACAAGTAGGGGTATTGGTCACTGGTCTCAAAAGTACAGCCAAGTGTAACTGTGTCTCCTTCAGCAGCAATGACATCTCCTGCTGGCTGGGTCACTCTGTCTTCTCCTTTACACTCTGGGGAAGAAGAGAACATGCAGAGGAAGAGATGGATCAATAAAGATGATTGATTAAAGGAGAACAATCAGTAGGTTTAAAGAGTTACCTAGCCAGAGAGTCAGAATCAGGATGTTTCTCAGCCAGTGGTTCATGTCTGCAGTGAGAGGGGAGGAGAGAGAGGAAGAACATTGATACTCTGATGGATCTGGGCCTTCACATCATTGGCCCTTCCTCTTCATCATCTGTTGAGGAACTCTCAACATTTACATCTCATTTACATCTCAGCTGTTTAGCTGATGCTCTTATCCAGAGCGCTCATAATGAGGAGCTTTAACATGTGAACTTTCTGTTACAACAAAGTCTCTTTAACCACTTTTCACCCTGGAATAGTTAATTCATCAACATGGGTCTGTAATCATTTTAGTTTGTCTCATCATCAGTGATACCAAAGCATTCTGTGTAGAAGAAGACTTCCTTGTGGAGTGCCTTACTGTACAGAAATAGCCTCAATTAAACACCATGATCTGGATTAACTGTGTTTTATTAATAACAGGAGTAATGTTGTAACTTGTCATTAGATTGTGTTGTCAGTGTCCACTTGGTGGCGCTGCTGTTCAGTAAAAGGAGGAGCTGCAGTGAGTAAATCTTCAGAGGAGCTGTCAGGTTTTTGTACAGAGTTTTGGTGTTTCCTGTCACTGTGGGCTTCACAGCACAGTAGTACACAGCAGAGTCTGTCACTGCAGCAGAGGAGATCTGCAGATCCAGATGGGTTTTATCATCACTCACTTTAACAGACAGTCGAGGGACTGGATCATTTCCTACTGCTCCTGAAGCAGAGTGTGAGACGAGGAACTCTGGTGGTTTTCCTGGATATTGTTGATACCAGAAGAAATAATCACTACTAGTTGCTTTTTTAGAGTATGTGTAGGACAGAGTAACAGAGCTGCCTTCTAAAGTGAACTCTTCATTCCTGACTGCAGTGAGTTCTTCACAGCTGACACCTGAAGGAAGAGATAACTCTGTTATTTCATGTTGTAAAAGACTCAACAAATGAATCCCATCCAGAAAAGTTAGTAATGAAACTTTCTCAGCAGGATCTCACATACCTGTTAGAATGGATAGTAACAGTAGAGAAAGTACATAATAGTCCAATGACAGCATGTTGAATAAAGGGAATGTTTCTGCTTTGTGTATTGAACTCTGCTGAATATGGAAGTTCCTCTCTCTTCTATAGTTCACTAACAGCTTAGCTCCTCCCTCAATCTCTCCGTCTCCTCGCAGCTCTGGATTTTCACTTCTCTCTGTTCCACTTCCTACCTTACCAGTAAATTCTACAGGATGTGAAAGTTTTTGCTTTATTTTCTGTAAATGAGACGTAGGTAACACTTTATTTTAAGGTGCTTGTAATAGGCAGTAATAAACAGTTAATAAGACACTTATAAGACCTTATAGGATGCTTATAAACAACAATATAAGTGTTAATTAAAGCCTAATAAACTATTAATTGATTAATTATTGCTTATAAGACAATTATAGGCCTTTATTAGAGCTATAAGTTATATATACCTCATGAATGCAAGATTGGACATCACATTGTAATTTGCACTCCTAATACAGCTACCCTTTATACTTCAGTACATTTCTTATTTTCTTAGACAACTAAGATGGTTTGTGAAGGTTTTATCTTGTTCCTGTCCACTTTAAATGTGTATTTTATGACGATAAAATGACAGTTAATTTGAATAGAGTCTGGCGGGTTTGGCGATTTCAGGGATGTTTCATGTTAAAACAAAACGGATCTTACTCTTTAACAAAAGCTTGACCTCAGCTGGGATCCTTTCCATAATGTTGTCAGACACTAAGAATAATTATCTGAGCGTGTCAGTGGCAAAACAAGCACGTTATGGATGGAAACTGAAGGTGTGCAGCGGCATATTAATGTTACATTGTAGCTTGTTTCACGCTGCCACTGCAGCCATCTCTTGGACCAATTTCTAATGTCCAGGTTGAGAGAAAACACCCTAAGACATTATTCAAGCTGCTCTAAAAATCCAAGCGCTAAAGTTAGCTTACACGACATGCCTTATTTTATATCTGCATGCTAACAGTAGCTTAAACTACATGCCTTATTTTATAGCTGCCTGCTAACATTAGCTTAAAGTACATGCCTTATTTTATAGCTGCATGCTAACATTAGCTTAAAGTACATGCCTTATTTTATAGCTGCATGCTGAAGTTAGCTTAAACTACACGCCTTATTTTATATCTGTGTGCTAATGTTAGCTTAAACTACATGCTTTATTTTAAACTACATGCCTTATTTATAGCTGCATGCTAAAGTTAGCTTAAACTACACGCCTTATTTTATAGCTGCATGCTAAAGTTAGCTTAAACTACACGCCTTATTTTATAGCTGCATGCTAAAGTTAGCTTAAACTACACGCCTTATTTTATAGCTGCATGCTAAAGTTAGCTTAAACTACACGCCTTATTTTATAGCTGCATGCTAAAGTTAGCTTAAACTACACGCCTTATTTCATAGCTGCATGCTAAAGTTAGCTTAAACTACATGCCTTATTTTATAGCTGCATGCTAAAGTTAGCTTAAACTACATGCCTTATTTTAAAGCTGCATGCTAAAGTTAGCTTAAACTAAATGCCTTATTTTATAGCTGCATGCTAACAGTAGCTTAAACTACATGCCTTATTTTAAAGCTGCATGCTAAAGTTAGCTTAAACTACATGCCTTATTTTATAGCTGCATGATAAAGTTAGCTTAAACTACATGCCTTATTTTATAGCTGCATGCTAAAGTTAGCTTAAACTACATGCCTTATTTTAAAGCTGCATGCTAAAGTTAGCTTAAACTAAATGCCTTATTTTATAGCTGCATGCTAAAGTTAGCTTAAACTACATGCCTTATTTTAAAGCTGCATGCTAAAGTTAGCTTAAACTACATGCCTTATTTTATAGCTGCATGATAAAGTTAGCTTAAACTACATGCCTTATTTTATAGATGCATGCTAACATTAGCTTAAACTACATGCCTTATTTTATAGCTGCATGCTAACATTAGCTTAAACTACATGCCTTATTTTATATCTGCGTGCTAATGTTAGCTTAAACTACATGCCTTATTTTATATCTGTGTGCTAATGTTAGCTTAAACTACATGCCTTATTTTATAGCTGCATGCTAAAGTTAGCTTAAACTACACACCTTATTTTATAGCTGCATGCTAAAGTTAGCTTAAACTACACGCCTTATTTCATAGCTGCATGCTAATGTTAGCTTAAACTACACGCCTTATTTCATAGCTGCATGCTAAAGTTAGCTTAAACTACATGCCTTATTTTATAGCTGCATGCTAACGTTAGCTTAAATGGCATGCCTTATTTTAAACTACATGCCTTATTTTATAGCTGCATGCTAACATTAGCTTAAACTACATGCCTTATTTTATATCTGCGTGCTAATGTTAGCTTAAACTACATGCCTTATTTTATATCTGTGTGCTAATGTTAGCTTAAACTACATGCCTTATTTTATAGCTGCATGCTAAAGTTAGCTTAAACTACACACCTTATTTTATAGCTGCATGCTAAAGTTAGCTTAAACTACACGCCTTATTTCATAGCTGCATGCTAATGTTAGCTTAAACTACACGCCTTATTTCATAGCTGCATGCTAAAGTTAGCTTAAACTACATGCCTTATTTTATAGCTGCATGCTAATGTTAGCTTAAACTACACGCCTTATTTCATAGCTGCATGCTAAAGTTAGCTTAAACTACATGCCTTATTATCCAATGAAGGTTAAAATCAAGGGCAACTGGACTTGGTTGAAGATACTGGAAGACGTTTCGTCCCTCATCCAAAGGACTTCTTCAGTTCTGACTGACTGGCAGGGAAACTCAGCTATTTAACCTCAGTGGGGTCGTTGGCCAGGGTCATCGATACCGCTGGTTCGTTAGTGTTCCTTGTCGTTAAGCTCTCTCTACATCCTGTTGTTATAAATCATTTTTAAACCCATCTCTAAGCTGCCATTTCCAAAGAAATCATTTGAGTGGAGTCAATATTTCCTAAAATCTTATATTAATTTTAGGAAATATTGTGTATATAGTATGTAGCTGCAGTACCGGAGGCTGCAGTTTCAGGACCCGTGTTGACTTTGATACTGCCAGCTGGCTTTGTTACACTTGACAGTCCACCGAAGCCAATTACCCTTACCACAACCATCACAGAGTGTCTGCCTAAATTTAAGTTATTAATTATGTGCATGTCAACCGGTTAACCCTACAGCTCTGGACATCAGCCTCACGGCCAACGTGCTAGCAGACAGCGTTAACCTCCTTCATGTTGCTGTGGATTACCACCACCACTCCACTAGATGGCGCTGTCGCAAAATAACTGAGGCCCTGGGATTGCGGGGGTCCTGAAACTGCAGCCTCCAGTACTGCATGCAACATAATATTGATTCAAAGAGGTCCAGTTAGAGAAATTTCACCAAGCAAACATCCGGAACATCAACTTGCTTTATCATTCAGTAGCTATCACAACGTATGGCCTAGCTGTATCACATATATAACATATTTACTGTCAGTTTTTACATAAAACTGAAGGGATAATAAATAACTAATAATAAATTCTAAATTTAAGTAATCTAAAGTCTAAATTTAAAAAACGTTTTTGTAAATGTGCATCTTAATATAAATTAATTTTATTGTTGCTCAATTCAGTTCAGAAAAACAAAATTAACTAAAGTGTAGCTTTGAGTGATCAAAGTGTAGTCTCAACCAAAATTATAATTAACACTCAACACATCTTAACAAACATCCCTGTGACGTCACAGGGATGAAAGCTAAACGCGCCTCATATAACGCTCGCCGAGCGGCGACTCCGACACGCCCTCAGAAACAGCGAGCTGCAGCACACAGCTCTCCTCTCCCTTCCAAACACTAGCTACCCTCCAGGCAGTCAGTGGACAGAAAGTTGTTCCTGTGATGTAGAGACAGAGCTCAGTTAAAACTTTATGGATACAGATTAATAACTCACCGCTCTGAAACTCTCGCTCCAGTCCATGTTGCCAAGCTGGTCGGCAACACGTACGGCTGAACCTGAGCTGTTTACCGGCTTCTCGCCGACCCGCCCTTCTCTG